ACCAAGTTTCATCATGATATCTTAATTTTTACTCAAGTTACAGCTTGCACGGACAGACGGACGCACGGACAGACAGACATCTGGATTTCAACTTTACTCGTTTATCTAACTCTTTTAGTTTTAGGACTTACAAACAACCGTTATGTGAACAAAACTATAATACTCTCTTTAGCAACTTTGTTGCGAGAGTATAAAAACACTTGCTCGCGACAAAAAATTATCCTCGAAGGCCTTTAATAACATTCGAAACGTTTTGCCAAAACTTTCAATCTGTAGAAAAGAGTTAGAGTTAGACTTCTTTGTTGAATAATTTCTCTCATCGTAAAGAGGACCGAATGCACTTATATACTTCAGAATGGCAAGCCTATACTAAACCGTAAGAATTATTTTGATGTTATACCAACCTAGAAAAACAAAATTTCGATAAATGGGTTTTCGCATTAAAAAATCCTTACGAATTTTCCACTGTCCACAGTAATACATCTCTGTTGATTTTAGAGATGTTTAATGCATAAATCTGTATTTATGTCTAATTTAGTGTGCGAAGATATTGGTTTGTAATATAAGAATTCTTTAGTATAATATATAATATGCAGAATAGTATACAATTCTTAAATATTCCGTTCCTTTCAGATGATAATTTTGTCGTATGCTTTTTTGGGCTTACTAAAGAATCATTTACAGTTTAGTAATTTAAATACAATTAAATTCTATTTACTCGCTTTCTTTGCAATTAAAATTAGATGAAATTTCACAGCGCGTATTTGCAACAAATCAATTAATTCATTAAATTCGCATTTACTTGCCGGCGCTTGCCACTTTATTTCACTATAGCTCGAAGTGAGTGCAGAAGTCGCGCGCACACACGCGTATGCCTCGCTGCGTCAATCGGCAGCCTGCAGTGCTTTGACAGCCGAATGTCAGATGCAGTAATTTCAATAATGCGGCAGTTGGCACGCACTGCAAGTTGCTGTCTTATGCCTGCATGCCTCAGCGGAAAGGCGGCGAAGAATTGAATATAGTGCCAGCACACGCGGTGCTGCTGGCACAGTTTTAATGCTATTAAATGCTAAAAAACACATACAACCAACTTACATGCATGTATGTGAGCACCATAATTGGGACTATTTGCTTTTGTCTAAATTTAATTTGGTTCAGTTGTTTAATAATATTACAAAAGCCCATCAAAGGGTCCACATACCTAAGATGATACGATTCTAACATAGTTTTTACTATTAACGTGGTATTTTAGTTATTTTTACGTTCACTTAGATTTAGTTCGAATCCTGTCAGAGTCACACAGTTACAGATGACAATGAAGGACCGATTTGTGATTGTCTTAAAGAAGATTGTAAATAGAATAGACCTGTATTCGCGTATGTCCTATTAGCTAACCAAGGGTGGGCTCTCTGAACATTACATTTAATGCATCGTTCTGGTACCAAAACGAGATCCCAATATGATAGTTACATGAGATGGCAACATGATTTTTTCAAATGGCGCCTATTTGTTATACCTCTTACGAAGGTGAATTAAGTTTGCCACGAAGTTTGTAATACCCAGAAGGACACATCGGAGATCGTATAAAGTATATTTATAAATGAGCTGCGTGAGGAGTTGAGTTGGTTGAGCCATATCCATTTTAATGGTTATCAAGTCCCCGTTAGGGTAGTAAGGTTCAGATAAGTGGTCATCGAGGTCATCCAAAGGCAGGCCCAAGAAACGTGCTGTTTCGACGGGGTCGGACCATAGGAAGAAATGTATCAGATTTATAGGGTTAGTTGGCCACGCAAAAATGAGGTTAGAGTCATGCGGGGACCCGTTGGATGCTCAAAATATATTTGGTAAGTCAGGATAGATTCTGAATCCAGAACAATATTGCGCAATGGTCACTCTAGATCCTTGCGGCAACTCGGGCTCGTCGTCTGAAATTTGGTGGTGGTTTGATACCAAGTACGCCATTCACTTAGAGAGAGTTGGTGAAGGTGTTAGTGGTTCTACTGCGAATGGCGGCCAGCACTTTTCTGAAGTTTGTTGCGCCCGATGTCTGGTCGGCGTAATGACTTATGTTGTCCACGTTGTTAAGGAAATACCTCTTGATATTCCTAGGAGACGTAGAGTCATGCTGCCTGTTTGAATTCCTATGGACAGTAGGGTTCTTCCTTAGAAGGACTCTGCGCGAACTTGGTTCATATTGATGAATGTCGCAGTTGTTAGTTGGCAACATGAGGCCACGTAACTTTTGCTCCAACTTCATCTTAGGTCTAAGAAGGTCTTAAGATAGCTCCACCCATTGCATATACTATACCTAAACCATGTGAAGTTTGGATGGCGCCTTTTAGCGCAAATGCGGCAGAAAAATTACCCGGGACCCGGGTGGGACTTAATGTAACGGGTCAGAAGAGGCTAAGCAAATGTGCTGCAAGCAGTTGTGATGACAAATTTAATCTAAAACTCGCAGATCCAAATGGAGTTAAATCGCCAAAAAAACCCCTTGGCCGGATTTAATCCGAGTCTATTCCAGTAACATAGAACCGGCTGTTGCGGGAATTGCCATATTCGCCGGTGCGTCTGACTGTCTGCGTATACGGACACTAGTTTCTCAGTTTTGCAGATATTAATTTCAGGATTTGGGCACGTTATTTTCTCCCCAAGAAGCTTTGTTTGTCGGAACCGTCGAAATCGGAGCATTATAGCGCTAGCGTACAAATTGGCCGATCACATCAACTTCTTGTTTAGAAGCCTTACTTTTGGTGTCCTAGCTACGGTGCAACTGGCGAAAACGTTTTTTCTTGTTCTTTGTTTTTATTAACTTCTCACCTAAATTATTAATAATAACTAACTTCGAAACCCGGCGTAATTAATTTTTTCCCTATTTGCATCATAGTATAATGAATTCAGTTCCATCTTATTTTCATGTATGCAAGAGCTCATGCACACATACATCAACAATAAATCTTTGAATTATTAAAATAGTAATTTGAATTTTTATGCAGAATATAGCACTGATTACATAGCAAGCCCATACCTATATAAAGTTCCTAATTATTTCCTTTCACAGGCATTAAATCTCTGCACTCGGCACATGCTGCATGCCGTATGGTAATAAATCTTAAATTATCACTCACCCAACAAGTGTGTGCGAAAGTGTATAACATCGCGCAGCGTCACTTCCTCATTCCGGTAGAGGATCTGAAAGACGCGCGATGCGCCACAACCGTTAATTATGCATGCAGATCCCGACAATAGGCTGCCGCCGTTCTGCAACATGCTTGGCAATGCATCCTGTTGCTGTTCACGCGGCTCTTGCAACACATCACCATCGCTGCTGCCGCCACCGCCGCCATCACCGCCACTGCTATCGCCACCATTGCAACCATTTGTGGTTGGTGGCGGCTGTGTGTGTATTTCCGCCGCGTGTGCATTGTTCTGCGGTGTGTCGGCTATGCTGGTCTCCACCTGCACGGGCAGCCGTGGAGAAACACGTAAACCGCAGCGCACCTGATAGAGTCTGCGGAAGAGTCGTAAATTAATACAAAACATATAAGCAAAGAGGAATTTATATGCGAAATTTATATACACATATAAAATATATATTTGTGGAAACAAGTATTTCAAAATGAGTTTTCTCTTTGGAGTTTGTGTGTGGCAAGCATCTACCAGTGGATAAGAATGAATTAACTGCAGCATACATTAATTTCTGCGCCATTCAATCTGCCATCAGCAACGCCGCGCTTAAATCGTCGCGTATTTGTCAATTGGCTGTTCAATGCTCTCAGCGCTCGCATGAGATACGATTATTTTTGGCCTTTTAACGGCGGAAAACATGCTTTCGTTTTTAATCTCATCAACCCAATGTTGTCGCTGCGCGTCAGATGTGCAAATCCCACATAAGCACTCGCCGTTGATCCCGACAAATAGACTGCCAGCCAAACATAGTCGACGAGAAGTCAGACGAAACGACAGCGCAGCTGTTAAGTAGACAGATGGACAATGGTACATGGCGTATGAGTAACATACACATTTGTTTCAAACTGTGTATGCGTGTGTGTGTGAAAAACATTCTTAGTCAGTCGACTGTGTGTACTATTCATAAAGACACAAAAAACCACAATCCCAACAACAACAACACTCATTGAGTGGGAACTGCAGATGTCAAATTATTTGTTATGGTTGCTGTTGCTGACATGTGTATTTCATTAACAAGCAAGTAATTTGCTGAGTGCTTAGCCGCCTCGCTGCTGGTGTTGTTGTTGTGCGGTGAACGTGTGAAGCGCACAGCTGACTGCGTGTGTGCATGCCGCACACATACATATACGCCTAACGCCTGCCTACACTAAATGTTCGATGCTCAGCCACTATGCTTGCGTTGGTTGCCATTTAATTTGTTGTTGTTGTTGCTTTTTGCTTTTAAATAGTGTTCAAGCACGTAAATGTCAAATGAAATGGGCCAAAATTAAACGTTTCGGCATCGTGGGAAAATCCAAATAAGCGTGCACTGTCGCTTATGCCGCCAAAAGTGAGCGGGGGAAATGAAGGAAAGTGACGCAAGAATTTCCTTGCTGACTTTAATTAATTTTTAATTTTATAAGGCTGTTTATGCGTTTGTTACTGGAATGCTTAAATCGCTGTCAGCACTTTTGAGCGACACTGCCTGCAGCTGGCATACTCGTTAGCTTTGCACGAAGTGTCCTTAAGCATTAATGGATTATTTTCGAAATCGAAAAGATTGTGGAAATTAAGAGTGTTCGCTCTGGAATTAAGGAAATCAGTGTCCTAACGTGCATCGGAAATTTTGAGCGCAAAATGTGATTTTTATATTTATAACATTTTTTATTTGAGCCGTTCAGTAGTAAGAGTATTAGAGTATCAGACTGAAATATAATTTTAACTAAATTTTTGTAATAGTTATTTAATGAATATATCTTGTATATCACATTTTTTTTTATATATTCTGTCGAAAATTCTTCACAGAAGCTTTTCTGAAAGGGTATAGAAAGATATTTATCTTAATATTGAACAGTTTGTATTGGATATGCAATAGGGGACCGATTTGATGTGGGTATCTTTCTGCTTATCGAGAAGGCCTGCAACAACATACACCCGAAGGCGGTTATTAGACCTCTTAATAAGTTTGACCAACCATATCATCTATAGTCTTCTTGGTGAAAGAACAGTTGAAGCAGAGTGGGGAAGTGTACCGTATTTCGGAAAGTAATAAAGGGCAACTCGCAAGATGGTGTCCTTGCCCCTTTGCACTTAATTGTAGTGGCAAACGACCTTTTTGTGGAGCCCTAAGGAGTTATACATATACAGTTTCATTTTCAATTTTCAAATAATTGATTTATTTTCATTTATTTTATATGTACATATATAAAAGAATACACAGAAAATTTCATATCGTTTCGGTGAATATTTTCGAAGTTACATGAAGTTTTGGAAAGGCATTTCTGAAGGCTCGGAGGTGCATTTCAAACTCTAAAGGTGTTTTTCTAAAATAGTGTTTTCAAAGTCGATGACCAACATTACTCGAAAAAGAGCTTCTTAAATATATCTTTTTGTAGTTAATCGAAATTTTTTGCTTACCAAAGTTTGTAACACCCAGAACGAAGGGTCGGAGACCCTATAAAGTACATATAAATGATCAGTATGTTGAGCTAAGTCGATTTAACCATGTCCGTCTGTCTGTATATATACGAACTAGTCTTTCAGTTTTTAAGATATCGTTTTGAAATTTAGCAAACGTCATTTTCTCTTCAAAAAGCTGCTCATTTGTCGGAACTGCCGATTTCGGACCACTATAACATATAGCTGCCCTACACACCGAACGATCGGAATCAAGTTCTTGTATGGAAAGCTTGCACATTTCACAATGTATTTTCACGAAATTTGGTATAGATTATTTTCCAAGGCAACAATGTAATCTCCGAAGAAATTGTTCAGATCGGCTTACTATAGCATATAGCTACCATACAAACCGAACTATCGGAATCAAGGGAAAACTTTTGCATTTGACGTGGTAATTGTTTAGATCGGATTACTACTTGTATAGCGTATAACTTCTATACGAACTGAACACATAGTTACTAAAAGAAATGCACCTGTGAAGGGTATATTAGCTTCGGTGCTGCCGAAATTAACGTTTTTTCTCGTTTTATTAACAATTTATTCCTTCGATTAATTGCTAGATTTAACATTACTTTAAGGAAATCTATTTGGTTTTTTAATTTCAGAGGATTCAGTTCAGATATATACTGGTAATCGCAAAACGTTGTTTTTTTTTTAGAGGAGTTCCAGGATATCAGCTGTAGTTCCTTTCTAAATAAATATTTGTACTAAAGCTGAGTCTTAAAATATAGTTAAATGATACCATAATACGTGTACAAAATTTTGGATCAATAAATCAAAAGTTTTCTCAGAAAAAAAATTTGGAAAATTCGCTGTTTTTCAGCCTTCTATCTCTATATAACCCCTTAAGAAAAAATGCTGCCAGGTGGTTGTCCAAGCATACAATGGAGTTCTTTAGGTAAAAGGAAATTATTAAACAATGTTTACGATTTTATTCAAGGTTAACAAAAAAAGCCACTTTTATTTGCTAGACAATACAAAATCCCCGTTCCTTCGCTGACTGGTTATAGTTTTCAATCGGTGAGCAGCGTGAAGTACTTTTGGCTTTTTTTTTATAAGAAGCTTTCTAGGAAACCGAATGCTCACGGAGAGAGTGAGGAAGGCATCGACCACCTTACACTATTATAGAAGAGTAATTAGAAAGATTTAAGGGACCCCTGGGCAATAAAGGAAGCAAAGCAAATGGGTCTGGCAGTGAACGAGGGCAAGTCGAAATATCTCCTGTCATCAAACAAACACTCGTCGCATTCGCGACTTGGCTCTCACGTCACTGTTGACACTTTGAAATTGTAGATAGTTTCGTATAGTTCGTAGCAGCTTGGAAATCCAAAAGGTGCTACTTCGGACTGAGTAGGCAATTGAGAAGTAAATTCCTCCCTCGACGAACAAAAACTAAACTCTACAAGCCACTTATAATTCCCGTCCTGCTATATGGTGCAGAGGCGATGCCAACAACTGATGAGTCAACATTGCAAGCTTTCGAAAGAACTATGAGCTGTATGAGAAATACGTCGACATTGACATAGTTCAGGGAATTAAAAGGCAGCGACTACGCTGGCTAGGTATTCGAAGCAGTACCCGCCGGGGAGGGAGGAAGAGGAAGACCTCCACTCCGTTGGAAGGACCAGGTGGAGAAGGACCTGGCTTCACTTGGGATATCCAATTGGCGCCACGTAGCGGAAAGAAGAAACGACTGGCGCGCTGTTGTTAACTCGGATATAATCGCGTAAGCGGTTTTTACGCAAATAAAGAAGAAGAAGAAGGGACCCCTTACCAAAGCTGATATTCTGGCTCTATGAAACCTTAATTAAGTCAATAATATTTTACGAGGTCGTAGTCTGCTGGAGGGCGCTCGGGAAACTCACACTAGCTAAGCAGCTGGAGCGTGTTCAAATAAAGATCACTATTGGCATCTGTGATGGACGAAGGACAACAAATGTGCTCAATGTTATTTTACACCTGCAGACATAGCTGGTAGGTGCTTGGCGACGAATACTGCTATTGGGTTTAGCGAAGCTGGGTATACGAGATGCCGGGCACGAATACACTGAAAATGTCCATTGCTTCGATTGACACTAGATCACAGTTATTTAAAGATATTGGTCGATATTTTGAATGCTAAGTCATACAAAAGCCTTGAGGTCCTTTTAATTCTTGTATGATTTGTGACTTAGTTATCCCAATTTTATGTTCCGATTTTACGCATCCCTTATACCGCACTCCTCAGTGTGCCAAGATACATATATTTAAAGTTTCATGAAGATATCTCAAATTTCACTCATTTTATTGGTTKTACAATGAACCGTAGTAAAATATCAGTACACCTTTTGCAACCGTCATATATTCAAAGCCAACCGCTAGAAATTTTTTCCTATGCAAGTCTGACGCTTTAACGGGTTCTAGTTTTTGTTTTGTGTTTATTTTCAGAACACGAAATAGTTCAATAAATAATTAATTTGTATACAAATGTGTACGCCAAGGTATTTCATGCGAAAGGCCATTGCGTGTACTCGCCCTTCATTCATACGCTTAAATACAGTTATTTATTTATTTCTTTATCTGTTGGATTTTCGTTGTGCTCAAAGAATTTCTAAATTTAGCTTTTATTGACAATCAACAAAAAACTTCAGTAATAAAAACGAATATGTATAATTCATTTGTTTTTGTTATGTACACACGCACATACTTGATGATACAAAGAATAGTTATTAATAAATACCTGGTATTATTGCTATTGGAGTGCATTTACGATTGAACGTGTAATAAAGTATTTTTTTATGAAAAATTAATTTCTTTATTCACATACAGTACAGAAGTGGATTCACTTGCGAAATACTATATGAAAAAATAAGGAAAAAAAAATTTATGTTTAAATAATGGGTCAATAGCATAAATATTTTTGTATAAAACAGCTATACTTGAAATAAGAATCTATCTTGGAGCTATGCGGCTAAATACCAAAAACAAAAATTGCTTTTAGCTTCAAGCGCACGAGAATATGCGTGTTTTTTTTTTTTTTTTTGAGAAAAATATTTATTCATAATCTACATTATTTTCGACAAATTCGTTCCCATTTCATAATATGCATTTATGATAGCGCTTCTTGTAATTGTCGAAACACTAGGAGAACTCGATTTTTTAGAGAGCATTTACTTCCTTCAGTGATTTTCATCTATTTTGTATAACGACGGTTCTTTAAGGGGTACATGGGTTTACTGGTTTTAAAAAAACGAATTTTTGATTGTCTTATCATTTCTTCTTCCTATATATCACAATCCCTAATTCATATGTTTTTTCTAATCAAGTTATTGAAATAAAGCTTTGCACAAATAGTGGCTTGACCAAAAATAATCGAAATCGGCACACACTAACCCCCACAGCGCTCATGGATTATTTCTTACCGAAAATATCGATAATCTTCTGGCACTTCTGGCTCAATTCATTGGGGAAATGTAGCGTTTTTAGTCATTTGTCATTTTGGGTTCAGTGACACGAACTCGCTATGTAAACAAAGGGACTGGACAGGAATGTATCTTTTCCTTGTTTTTCTGTGTGGTTGCACTGAACGAAATACTAATCCTATGCAAAGGAGGGGGAATAAATCAAAAGACGATATGGTGTTAATGTTATCAGGGTTGTTTCCATCTACAATCTAAACTGAGCTAAAAAATGAATATTGAGAACATTAAAAACATGTGTAGTGCTGGGGTCATGTGAATGCGTATGGTTATTGTTAGACCAATTCTAGCATATGAAGCACTGGTTTGGTGGCTGAGGAATTAATTATAATATAATATATCGATTGGCTCATGCCATTCGATTTTAACCAATGATTTGGGTATGAGTCGGGTCGACACGAAGTTTGTGCCAAAATTGTTCACATCGTCGTGTTGACATTATTTAGGAGATATTGACTTCATTTCGTAATTATTTAGTTCTGCCAGAGGGCCATAACTGGTTAGGAATGATGGGTTTATGGTTATTCTTCTCTTTTTTACTAGCGTAGACACCACTTGCGTGGTTATAGCCGAGTTAACAATATCTCGCCAGTCGTTTCTTCTTTTCGCCATTTTTCGCCAGTTGGAGAACCCAGCAGATAGATTCTTCTCCAACTGATCTCTATATCTGAGTGGAGGGTTACTTTCTTTCTGCTTCGCACAGCGGGTACTGAACAGAAAATTTTCAAAACTAGAGTGTTTCTTTCCATCCGGACAACATGACCTAGCTAGCGCACCCGCTGTCTCTTGATACGCTGAAGTATGAGAATGTCGCCGTCTATATCGTACAGCTCATCGTTCCATCGACTGCGGTATTCGGCGTTGCCAAGGCGCAAAAGACCGTAAATCTTCCGCAAAACCTTTCTCTCGAAATTCGTAACCTCGACTTATCAGATGTAATCATCGTCCATATTTCTGCACCATATAGCAGGACGAGGATGATGAGTGACTTGTAGAACTTGGTCTTTTTCCGTCGAAAAAGGACTTTACTTCTCAATTGTCTACTCAGTTCAAAGTGGCAACTGTTAGTAAGAGTGATTGTGCGTTAGATTTCAAGATTTCAAAGCTGATACTGTTGTTGGTATTGATGCTGGTTCCAAGATGGATGAAATTATCTACAACTACAAAGTTAAGACTGCTAACAATGACGTGCAAACCAAGTCGCGAATGCGATGTCTGTTTGTTTGTTGATATGAGATATTTCGTCTTGTCTTCGTTCACAATCAGCAACCAGACCCACATGCTTCGCTTCTTCATCCAGTCTGGAGAAAGCAGAACTAACGGTACGGTTGTTGAAGAAAATGATGTCAATATCATCGAAGATTTTACTAACAATTTTCTTTGACAGCAGGGTCGTTATGCATTACAGTTCTCCTCAGACTTGGCTTATATTTTTTTTGTTTCCACTGAAGAGGCCCATGAAAGGACGTCCCTATACTCACGATAATTTTTAACGAACGTCTCACCTTACTAGTCATTTGAAAAATACCTTTATAGGGAACTTGAATAAATTAAATTCCAGGCTTGATAGATATAAACTAGTAAAGCGAAATATGTCTGTAGGGAAATTGAGTGCGATTGCTCAAGTACTTTGTGCGAAATGCATATTTTATCTGGAAAGGCATCGAGGGCTCGTTTTTTCCAAGATTTTTGCAATAGCACTCCTTATATCAAAATATATTAGAGTTCATGTCGCTGCTTTATAAGTTATTCGTACAGAAGTGAAAGCACTTCCACGTAAAAATATGTAAATCTTCTAATGGGCATTTTATTGTTCGAACAACAATAAAGGAAATTCATCATTAAATCAACTTTACAAATACAAAAATTCCTAGTCGTGTTCTTGTCGAGGACAATTAAAAACGAATACTCGAGTGTTTCAAAGAGCTTTGAGATTTTCTATTTTCAAGGGAATTATAATAAAACTTGTGTATGTAAGTATGTATAACTGCAATACAATTAATATGCGCAAATGTTAATGTCATGACGACTGTGCGCACAATGCGTATTCTGAGTTAATGTGACAGCGCTACTTTATTGTCAACTGCTTACCACACACACCTTCTCATGTTATTTACCCACACACACATACAATATATCACTAGTAGTATACACATACATTTTTTCGACAGTAAGTAATGCTAATGGGAATAAGAATGTAAATGGAAATGGGAATAAGAATGGAAAATGAGAACACATCTTGAACTTACCCTCTTTGAAATAAGTCAACATTGAAGAATTTATAGAGCTCAACGGAAAATTCAATTGTTGCTTGCAGGTCGCCCATGCCGAGGCGAATGCCACAGCGTCACTGTCCTCAAGTACCGAGTCGTCCTCAACGTCCTCGACGTCGTCGTCGTCGCCGTTCTCGTTGTAGCAGTCGTCGTCTGTGCTATTGTGTTAAACACCTACGGCACTATTTTTTCCTGCTGACGTAGTAAACGTTGCTATGACGTAGCGAGTATGATGTACCAAACGCCAAGCCCAAGATGAGGGGCTGGCAATGCAACTAAGAATCCTTGTTAATCGTTGCGGCTGCGTTTGTTTACAAACCGCTTGTACCGCCGTCGTCCTGCCTTACCGCATTTGTGGTACGCTCACTGGCTACTGTTGTGCTTGTTTTTGTCGTCGCCAGTTTTGACTCGAGTATGGAGGCACTGAACAAATGGCGCCACTTGTCCTTAACATAAATCGCAAAGAACGACTGCTAAGGTCCCACTTCAGCTTGGCGAGTGTTGTATATTGAAGGCGATTTTAAAGTGAGACGCAAGCTTATACTATGCTTACGTATTTACGTATTTGTGTACGCATACATGTGTGTGTGAGTGTGCTTGCAAATTTCCTTAAGTTTCCAAGTTGGCGTGCTTGAACACAGTTCGGTCTGCCTTTTTGCTATTATTTTGTTGTTGGTTTTGTTTTCTCGGTTGCTGTATTTAAAAATTGCTACCGCTGTTATTGCTGCTTGCTACTTTAGCTGTTGCTGTTGTTGCTGCTGATTTTGGTATCGCTTCGTATTGTGGGGTTTGAGTTCCGCAATTTGTGTCATGTTTTCCTCTTGACTGCGCACGAAAGGAATTTTAATAATGCAAGGCGTACTTTTTACAAGCTTTCTACTACTTGACATTCTCCCCTTCTCATAAGTACAAACACATATAACGGTATATGCTTTCAATTCCTTTTTTTTTTATTATACATAGTAAACGCCTACTCTGGCTTTGACTTTCTCGCTGACTTAGCGGCAGCGCGAGTCATTCTCGTTGATTTCGAGTTCATCCTTTGATTGGAGAACGCTCCGAAGTGCATTGCTAGCGAAAAGAAACTGCAAAAAGATTTGCAATTGTGTACAATTCCTACAAAAGTTCACTTTATTAAAACTTTAACGAAGTCATTCACTTAAAAAGCTTATTATTTATTGATGACTAGAACGCGATAGGCTGATATCAGCACGCGCTAATGTTGGAAACACAATTTACGAGCTTGCTTTATGCCGCGTCTCGTGGCTTTTCGCCTTTAATGGCATTACGTTGTCACGCGGTGCTCACGAACTGCGAACTTCGACCGTACTAAGCACACGAAATTAGTTACGCCGGTTCACGAGCGCGTGAGTTAATAAAATTTGCTACAAATTTTTGCAAATAATTGGATCAATGCGTCATAATATGCGAGGCTAATGACCGCCCAACGACCGCAGCACCCAACTAAGCAACTAGACCACGTGCTTACTTGGACCTGGCACACAATGTGCCGTTACACACACTTGTATGCATGCGTAGAGAGCGTCTAAAAGTAAACAACAACACATAAAGCAAGCCATAAATTGGGTAAATAAGAATCGATGGGCGTCCAAGCGATTGCGTCCGTTTGAAGTGTGGTGCTTGAGCAGCGTGAATGGTCGGAGGTTTGGCACTGTTCGGACGTTTTATGGGTTTTTTTGCCCACTCGGCCGAGGTTATGAGGTCAATACGAATACCATATTGTTGCAGGGTATGAAGTAGAAAAAAAGAAGAAGTACCGCGTACTAGAATGTGAGAACATATTACTTAAAAGCACCTAAATGCGAACTCGATAAAGAAGGTAAATGCGAACGCAATAAAATAATATCCGTTGATTAGGTCAAATAGTGTATACCTTTAACACATAATGAAAGTGATTTACAATATTTTTTATGAGATAGGTTAGGTTAGATAAATAATTATCGTGGGACCACGAGTTCTGCGACATTGAGCCTGCTGCACTAGAACACCTGGTAATGGACTGCACAGTAGTCTGCAGACGTTGGCTGAAGGCCCTTGGATGCATGTTTCCAAATAGTTTTACAGCGCTCTACTAGCACCAAGCAGTATATTGGACTTTATCAATATGCTAGCGATAAATGAATCTTTTTGGTTTAGGAGAGAGCACAACCTAAGGTCTTAGTGTATTCCTGGTTTATCAATTAGGGCGCGAATAATACCGCTTGATCGGAGAGACTGTCCATTGTGATGCCTAGAATTCTTAGATATAGGTTAAAATGACTGCGAATTATCGACAAAATGCTTAGAATCTACCACGTATGTATAAATGTAGATGGCTATAATCAATTCCTCCCAATCCGCCCCATTCGTTAAAAGTATGGTAACCGCGATGCTTCAGCCTTAGTATGACAAAAGCTGAACATCTCATGATACTCATTGCAACTTTGACAAGTTGCGTCCTCCAAAATCCGTAGCGAGCTTTGGCTCTTCGCAAAAGCGAAGTACATCTGCTGGCTGCCACTTGTGCTTGAAATACAATAGAGTGGTCTGGCAGACTGAAAAAAGAGTTGATTGAGAACTCCGGACAGAACTTTTTCCTTCCAATCTTCCCCTTGACCAATATATCTATCGGAGGTACGTGGGTGGAGAAGACGTCGCCTGGCGCAGAACTGCAAGTTGGTTATCAGGGATTCAGTCGAAGTGAGAGAAGAATCCGGAATATTCCTCTATGGGGCATGAGCAATGCCGCTCTCTGGGCTCTCACATATTTCACAGAGACTTCCTACGATGGAATTTATCAAATGTACTGGTAGTAGAAGGCGGATATTAAGGGGTTACATACGTCCAGAATTTTCAAAAAATCAGTTTTTGTTATAGGTTATTATTCTTTATAGTTTTAGGCATATTTCTGTGAAAGTCGATTGTAAAAATTCCCCATAGATACAAAGTTATGGTAGAAAATCAGACCGCCCGACGAGAGTTTAATGCACACAGGTAGTTGTCCTTCGTTTGAGGCAGCTGGCCGTTTAAACACGTTTTTCTCGAGACTACTCAAGTCTCAACACCGGCACGGTCTGCATGATAACTCATGCAGTTTTTAACATTTTTTGATGCGATTTTTTTTAAATATTCGAAAATGTTTTCTCAATAGTCTGTCTAGCCGGATTTTCGATATTCTTATTAAAAAGTTTTATAAATATAATTAAAGTGTGACATTTATGACGTAAAACGCGTACTTTTGTTCTAAATTCCGTAAATTGGAAAATTTTTCGAAATTAAAAAATTTGGCTCGACAGACTATAACTACAACTTCATTTTACAAGAATTTTTTTATCTCTACAGATCCAGCACCATTTCAAGGATAAATGATGCAGACCGTGGAGCAACTTTTTTTTCATTGTACTTTGGGTCATGTGATATTTTATGTACTAATTTGTGTAAAAAAAAATTAAAATACATTTTTTTATAAACTCTAAGCACCAATAAACATTGCACAACATTTCTTTATATTCATTTCTATTGCTATCCCTTCTGAAAACAGTTTTTCTTTTAGCGCATTTTTGGTGGTGCTGGACATATGTAACCCCTTAAGCTAATTAAAACCTATATTTATTAAGTATTTGTCTGAAATTTTTTTTTTAATTTGTATAAAATTAAATTAAAAATAAATTTATTTATGTCGAAATCTTAAATTGAGAACGTACAAAATACAGCTTGTCCAAGAACTGAAGCCGCTTCACTTTCCCATGCGACATCGCTTCGCTTTATGGGCTCTTAAAAAATTCCAAGAATATCCGACTATCAGCGATGGGACCTTTTTCTGGCTCAAAGGGGATGTAAACAAACAAAATTGTCGGAAAAAACAACGGCTTGGAGGACTTTGTTGGTCGGTGGAATCATCGATTCATATTCCTTCAAAAATGATGCCGTGAGAACGTAACCGTCAATGGCGAGTTGTCATGACATGATAATCGACTATTTGATGCCTGAAGTTGAAGCACGTGTTTTCGGAGATATTGGGTTTCACCAAGACAGCTCCACTTGTCACACATCGCAACAATCGATGTATTTATTGAGAGAACACTTCAGTGAGCATATAATTTCAAGGTTTTGGTCCGGTCGATTGGCCACCAAGATCAGGCACTTGAGCAAAACATCACGTGTGTCAGTTACCAGTCGAAATGAGTCATTGGACCATCTGAGGCGTAGCCATGGTAAACGTTTGAAAGAGATAATCTTCAAAAAATAAATGGCAAAGAATCTTCTTTCGAATAATAATAAATATTCCTCATTAAATTTGAAGCTTCCGTTTTTTTTAATGTAGGGAACCTCGAAATTGATCACCCTTTTCAATATCATAAAGATCAACAATTATTCTCAATAAAATATATAATAAAGATTTGTGATATTTTTAAATAAATTTCGATTAAGAACTGCTTGGATGTGCTCTCAACAGTGATCCCCTCTTGTTCTTAGAAACAAAAAATGTTCAAAATTTACTGCGGAGTCAGAAAAATAGATAATATGTCAAATTGAAGAGCTATTGCAAAAATAAGCAAGCGCTAAACAAATTCTCAACGCTATTCATATTAGTAAAATACCAGAAATTAAGTTCAAATTTACTTAAGAGAGCAGGAACATTAATTCTGCTTATTATCGAGAAAATTTTGAACAATGAATTCAAAGTTAAGCCAACAGGTGTCGCTAACGAACAGGCACAAACTTAAGTGCGAACTCAGCACTCTCCAACCATTAATCTTATATATTTATTATTTTTCATTTAAGAACCGTCGACGCTTTGCTTGCTAGAAAATAAAGTTTATTAGCTCGCTGAAAATTAAGGAAAAATCTCTGGTTATTATTCATCCTGCGGCTATTATGTTGCGTTATTACTACATTATAGCTCAGGTAACAACAAAAGCCAACTAAGATTTCATTGTGTGTTTAAGGTATATGATTTTCCACCTTACCTAGATATAAATATACATAGGTATATATGTTTTGTACACATATACTTACGTACATAAGTGAATGCAAGCTAAGTGTAAATATAAAGCATTTGTTCTGACAGAGCGTCAAGCTCAGCCGGAATGAGGCCAAGTGGCTTCAGTGGATAAAACTTTTAATCGCCACACAAATGTTTACACATATATATCAAAGTATATATGTATATGTCTATATACATTTCGTGTACGTAAGTTTGTATATAAGTATTTCTGGAATCTACAATGGCACATAAAAACAAATATCTTTTCACCCCACCTCTGCTTTCGGTGAGTATGTAAAAAAGCACAACAATGATTAATACCAGCTCAGCGGTGTCGTTAGTTTCGCATATTCGTGGACTTGGCCTGCCTTATGTGGTGCCAACACCAGGCTAAATAAATGAGCGCTGAAATTATGTTTATAATGGGGAGAAGCATAAATATATGTTAGAATGGAGAACAAGCGGCGCGGAGCAGATAGTTAATGCAACCTGCTTGGACGCGCGATTGTTGGTGTTGGTGTTGTTAGCTGGCTGGTGTTGATGATGGCTTAGTGAGCGCAGCTTGTTGACACAATAAAATGATTGAAATGTTGAGTAGGAAGGAAGTAAGTTGAAGGGGGCGAGCAATATATGGCGGGCAGTTGGAGCCTATACCATAGTGGTTAGTATTGTATGTAAACTTCTTCTACATATTACATATGGTGTTACAATAAGGCTTGATAAGTCAATGAGTTTCTTAATTTTGTGTGCATTGACTTCAAATCTATAACTGCTGATGTCAAATGCTCCTTAATTATCAATAAATTTTAAAGCAAATGTTTAAAATGAAATAACTTCTGAAGTAGGAAAACTTCAGTGAAGTCTTATGGATAGGATTTAACTGTCATAACGAAATTCTGTCAAAATACGGGTTATTTCAGAAAGGATAACTCTTAATTTAGACTTTATATTCAAACGTAAATATAATTTAAATAAAAATATGGTATTTTTCTTCAACTTGACTAACTTTAATGCATTTGTTGTCACTTTCCTTCAATAGCAGTTCAATCGAATGGCCCCGGTGTGGCACATAGATGGCACCACTAAAATTAAATTTCT